GTTAGGTAGTGATATGAATGTAAAATATATATATAAAGCACTGTGTAAACTGACAGCGCTATATAAGTACCTGAAATAAAATAATTAAATAAAATTGTTTCTTGTTGAAAGGAACATTTACATTTTAAACTCAACTGCCTTTAGATTTTGCATACTTGTAGGCAGATGCAGTCTGTTCTTCCCCTCTGTAGGTGGGAAAGGACTTCCTCTATGACTTCCTGTGGCCATTGAAAGAGCAGCCATCTAATTGGTGCCCTGTGTGAACTTTGCAGCCATATTGGGTGAGGGCAGAGCTTATTTAACACCAAGGCCCCTTGATTTGGCCCGCATTCTGTGAGTGGTTAGTGTAGGGACAGGTTCCCCATCTGTCAGGGACAGTATATAACATTAGGGAGAGGTTTGGGAGAAATAGGGACAGTGCAGGGACCACGCTATTCTCCACTTTAGGAAGCCTGCCCATTGAGTTGGACCCACCAGTAGTGATGACGCTCCTCCTGTTCGGTTTGCAGTCGGACATTCGAACCTAACGAAAGTTCAACCGTGAACTTCGCACAAAGGGGACAATTCACTAAGCGATATCTTATCGCATCTGAGTTATACTAATAAATCATGTGGTATTTTAGTAGTGAAAACATTCTGTACTGTTTCAGCCATCAGCTGAATGTAAAAAGAATTGCTGGCATTGCCCAACAATTAAAAACTGTTTTATAAAATGGCGTGGGGGTCCCAAAACTCATACCAGACCCTTATCCAAACATGCAGTCTGGCAGGTCAGGAAAGGGGGGTGCCCACCCTTCCTTAACCATACCAGGCCACATGCCCTCAACAGGGGGTTGCTTTGGGGCAGGGGGGATCCTTCTCCACAATCGTGGCCGATGACAGTGGGGGTCTAGGGGCAGGGGGCTTATCGGAATCTTGATGCCCCATTTAGCAAGGGTGCCCCCAGATCCTATCACACCCCCCCCCCATGTGAATGCGTATGGGGTACATGGTACTGCTACTTATTCACAAAATAAAGTGTAGTGTAAAAAATGCCAGGAGTCTTTGACAAGTCCTTTATTAAAAGTAAAAATTTAAAAAAAAATGTCCCCCAAAGTAGATCCAACATCAATCACGATGCCTGCCGACCCGAAAAATTTGAAAAAAAAAAAACCTTCTTCACTCTCGACGCTGGCTCCCGCTGTCTGACAGCTGTGCCGACCTGACAGTTCATAAATACTGAACTCCTACAAGCATTAGCTAGTGCTGAGCTGGACACTGTGATGATGTCATCATGCACTGTGATTGTCCAAAGCATTGCACCTGACCTGTGGCCAATCACAATGCATGTCAGGGCTCAGTGCATTGTGGGGCGTAGCGGAAGAACAGCCAATGTTTGAGTCGAACTTATGTTCAACTGGAACATCTAGTCCAACCCTACCCACCAGATTGTATTCCCGCTCCTCGCTGCAGACGCTGTCGGCATCTCTTCAAGTGCAATACCTCTGCTACAGGTTTCCGTAAGTGGCTCTGGACGGTTGTGCACACCCACTAGGCCTAGTTGCACTTTGTTGGACCTTTCTGCAGTACACACTTCATGGTATCATGTGGCCTCTGTGTCATTTCTGACACACCATGCTACACCTTGCTCACATTTAGGCTGCATTCACACTTGAGTGTTTTGTAGTTTGAAGCTGGAAGCTCCAAAAAAGCTCAAACTCAAAAAATCAATTGTTCTCTATGGTGCCTGTTCACACCTGATCTCCCAAGCAGGCATCATAGAGAACAATTGATTTTTAAAGTTTGAGTGTTTTTGGAGTTTCAAGCTTCGAGCCTCAAGCTACAAAACGCTGTGTGAATGCAGGGTTCCACCACTGAAAAAAAAGGTTATGAAATGCTGGTATAAAACACAGAAGGAAGAGAAAATGTTGCAGAATACACGGCCCACCGGGGATAATATAGACAGTATCTTCTTCAGTTAATCTCCCTAGTGGTAATCCTGAGTGTGGCTCGGGGTTAATTTACTTTACCAAAAGCGGTAACCCCGATCCCCACTCAGGATTACTCTACAGTGCTTCTCCTGCGATCCCCTGATCCTTACCTTGCCCTGCGATCCCCCAATCCTTACCTTGTACTTCGATCCCGCAATCCTTACCTTCTCCTGCGATCCCCCAATCCTTACCTTGTCCTTCGATCCCACGATCCTTACCTTGTCCTTTGATCCCGCGATCCTTACCTTATCCTGCGATCCCCCGATCCTTACCTTGTCCTTCGATCCCGCGATCCTTACCTTGTCCTTCGATCCCCTGATCCTTACCTTGTCCTGCGATCCCCAATCCTTACCTTGTCCTTCGATACCCCGATCCTTACCTTGTCCTGCGATCCCGCGATCCTTACCTTGTCCTGCGATCCCCCAATCCTTACCTTGTCCTTCGATACCCCGATCCTTACCTTGTCCTGTGATCCCGCGATCCTTACCTTGTCCTGCGATCCCGCGATCCTTACCTTGTCCTGTGATCCCCCCATCCTTACTTGTCCTGCAATCCCCTGATGTCCTCACACGATGTCCACCAGCCATGTCCTCTGGTCGATGCCGGTATCCGTCTTCCGGGATCCCTTCCCTGTGAGCGTCGGGATGTACGGGACGCAGGGGCGGAACCGGCGGGAGATTCAAAAAAGTAAAAATGTGACATACACACAATACATTGTAATCTGTTAGGATTACATTCCTGTATCAAACCATTTCACATACATTTTGTCCCGAGTGCTTTGTCCGGCGCCCTGCCTGCATTTTTACTGTTCTTTCTGCCTGGAAACTGAGAAATGTCCATGGCGTCCAAAAAGCGTCCCTTTAGGTCAAAAGCGGTTTTAGACCGGCTAGAGAACAGCGATAGTAAATCAGAACCACTTGCAGAATTGAGTGATAATGATTCGTGGGGGAAATTCGTCATCAGATACTGAAAACGATTCTGCGACTGAGCTTAACGATGTGCGAACTTGGAGCTATATTTCACATTTCAGTGTTTTTGGTTTGATTATTGAATTAAATTTATTATTATTTTTTATTATTGTTTTTTATAATTATTTATTATATTATAATTTATGATTTCGTGTTTCAAACTTTATCATCCCCGGGAAGACTTGTTCGGACAGATTTCAGTGAGTTATTCCTAAGAATTACAGGTCTACAATAAAAAAACTACATGCAAAAAAATGTACTGCTTTGAGCACATAATCAGACCGCTAGGGAGGCTATAGCAATATTTTTGGACACTGCCATTTTTCTACAGTAAATTCCTACATTTCCCAGTGTGCTTTGCTGCTCTTGCTTTCATTGTTTGACCTGTGCTGTGTGCAAACAAACAGGAACGTTTCCCAATGTCCTTTTCTGCCTCATTGTCTCAGCTAGCAGAACTGTGTGCAAGCAGGAAATTCCTTTTATGGACATATGGAGGATACACGACGGGATATCAATGGATGGGTCCAGAATTGTCTTTGAATATAAAACAACCAATTTTCATGTAAAAAAAATGTACGGCTTTCACATTCAAAAATATTGATTAGCTAGACCGCCAGGGAGGTTACACACTGATCATTGTCATTAGGCTCCGCGGCATCCCAGTTTTGCAGACTGACGTTCCTACCCTGGCATTTGTTTGTAAAGTAGATGTCATTGTGTGGCGGGTGCATGAAAAAAAGATGAACTGTTTCAGTATGTCTCTTAACTAAAGCACAGACAGGAGCCTCTAATCCATTAGTGCATTACTCTATAAATGCTTCACATTAGCATGTCAGTAAGCCAAGTCTACAGAGATTAATGAGAGATTTCCCTGGCCGGCTTTTAAATAGAAATGGAAACAGGACAAGACAGAGGCTGGAAGTACATTATTTTGTGACGGTGCATTTCCAAGTTCAAATAAACAAATCGGATCCACTTACAGTGACACTAAACTCTGGGTTATAACAAAAAAATTCTATTAAAGTCTGTATGTTGTATTTTTAAGGTGTTATTAAACCCACAACAGTAAAATCAGTCCGTATTTGTGCAGTAAAGCATGCTTGTTATACTCACTGTGGAACCTAAGGGGTTAATCCTCTGCATTGTGTAAAAAGTCTGTTTGATCCTGTCTTCTCTGTTCCTTCCCGTTTTCAAGTGACCACCTCTTATCTCCAGACTGAACCATAGACATGCACATGCTCAGTTTGGTGTGTATTGCTAGAGAGTTTTTTTTTTATCTTGGGAGAGTGCATGTGATCAGCACAGGGCCAATCAGCACTGTCCAGACAGAGGTCAGGGGATTTCCATCCTCCTAGAGCAGAAAGAAAACTCCTCCTACAAGCATTAGCTAGTGCTGAGCTGGACACTGATAGAAGTCACAAGACTACTCTAACTGCTGATGAGAAAAGGTATTAAGCAGTTTATATTTACTAAAATAATTGCATTTCCATGTTCTGTGTACTGTGGGAGACCAGATATAGTGAATGCAGGGTCCGGGGAGACCAGATATAGTGAATGCAGGGTCCGGGAGACCGGATATAGTGAATGCGGTGTCCGGGGAGACCAGATATAGTGACTGCAGGGTCCATGGAGAGCGGATATAGTGAATGCAGGGTCCTGGGAGACCGGATATAGTGAATGCAGGGTCCGGAGAGACCGGATATAGTGACTGCAGGGTCCATGGAGAGCGGATATAGTGAATGCAGGGTCCTGGGAGACCGGATATAGTGAATGCGGTGTCCGGGGAGAGCGGATATAGTGAATTCGGTGTCCGGGGAGAGCGGATATAGTGAATGCGGTGTCCGGGGAGACCAGATATAGTGACTGCAGGGTCCGGGGAGACCAGATATAGTGAATGCAGGGTCCGGGGAGACCAGATATAGTGAATGCAGGGTCCGGAGAGACCGGATATAGTGACTGCAGGGTCCATGGAGAGCGGATATAGTGAATGCGGTGTCCGGGGAGACCAGATATAGGGAATGCAGGGTCCTGGGAGACCAGTGAATGCAGGGTCCGGGGAGACCGGATATAGTGAATGCGGGGTCCGGGGAGAGCAGATATAGTGAATGCAGGGTCCGGGGAGACCAGATATAGTAAATGCAGGGTCCGGGGAGAGCAGATATAGTGAATGCAGGGTCCGGGGAGAGCGGATATAGTGAATGCAGGGTCCGGGGAGAGCAGATATAGTGAATGCAGGGTTTGGGGAGAGCAGATATAGTGAATGCAGAGTCTGGGGAGACCAGATATGGTGAATGCAGGATCCGGGGACAGCGGATATAGTGAATGCAGGGTCCGGGGAGAGCAGATATAGTGAATGCAGGGTCCGGGGAGAGCAGATATAGTGAATGCAGAGTCTGGGGAGACCAGATATAGTGAATGCAGGGTCCGGGGAGACCAGATATAGTGAATGCGGGGTCCGGGGAGAGCAGATATAGTGAATGCAGGGTCCGGGGAGAGCGGATATAGTGAATGCAGGGTCCGGGGAGACCGGATATAGTGAATGCAGGGTCCGGGGAGACCAGATATAGTGAATGCAGGGTCCTGGGAGACCGGATATAGTGAATGCAGGGTCCGGGGAGAGCAGATATAGTGAATGCAGAGTCCGGGGAGACCAGATATAGGGAATGCTGAGTCCCAGGGAGAGTGGATAAAGTGAATGCAGGGTCCGGTGAAACCAGATATAGTGAATAAATGGTCCTGGTTTTAGGAACACTTTAATTAAAAATAGTCCCTTCTGTTGCTCTCATCATCCTCTAGATCAGCGGTTCTCAACCTGGGGGTCGCGACCCCTTTGGGGGTCGAACGACCATTTCACAGGGGTCGCCTAAGACCATCGGAAAACACATATTTCCGATGGTCTAAGGAACCGAGACACCGCTCCTGTCTCAGGCAATGTGTGGTGTCAGTGGGGGGAGGATATGCTGCCCCTGTCACCTGGCCACACCTCCGGGATCACTCAACAGCTCCGCCTCCTCGCTGCTGATTGGCCACCGGAACTGTTGCTCAGGAGAGGGCACACAGGCGGCCAATCACCGGCGAGGAGGTGGAGCTTTGGAGAGGAGGAGCCGAGCGGCAGCGCGCGTAGATCAAAGAAGATCGAGGGAGCTGCAGGAGCGAGTGAAGAGAGAGGCCAGAGAAGGAAGACAGCTGACAGGTAAGTGCAATTTTGCTGCTGCAGCCAGGTATGCAGGCTGTGTAGATGGGAGAGGGAGAGAGCGAGCCCAGGCTGGAGCAGGGGTCAGCAAGGTAAGTATCATTGGTGTCAGTGGAAGGGATAGTGCCCCATAATTTGTGTCACTAATACCAACGATGGGGCATTATTCCTCCCCCCACTGACACCAACGATGGGGCACTATTCCTCCCCCCACTGACACCAACGATGGGGCACTATTCCTCCCACTGACACCAATGATGGGGCACTATTCCTCCCACTGATACCAATGATGGGGCACTATTCCTCCCACTGATACCAATGATGAGGCACTATTCCTCCCACTGATACCAATGATGAGGCACTATTCCTCCCACTGACACCAACGATGGAGCACATTCCTCTCACTGACACCAAGGATGGGGTACTATTCCTCCCACTGACACCAACGATGGGGCACTATTCCTCCCACTGATACCAACGATGGGACACTATTCCTCCCACTGATACCAACGATGGGACACTATTCCTCCCACTGACACCAACGATGGGGCACTATTCCTCCCACTGACACCAAGGATGGGACACTATTCCTCCCACTGATACCAACGATGGGGCACTATTCCTCCCACTGACACCAGTGATGGGGCACTATTCCTCCCACTGATACCAATGATGGGGCACTATTCCTCCCACTGATACCAATGATGGGACACTATTCCTCCCACTGACACCAGTGATGGGGCACTATTCCTCCCACTGATACCAATGATGGGGCACTATTCCTCCCATTGATATCAATGATGGGGCACTATTCCTCCCACTGACACCAATGATGGGGCACTATTCCTCCCACTGATACCAATGATGGGGCACTATTCCTCCCACTAACACCAATGATGGGGCACTATTCCTCCCACTAACACCAATGATGGGGCACTATTCCTCCCACTGATACCAATGATGGGGCACTATTCCTCCCACTGATACCAATGATGGGGCACTATTCCTCCCACTGATACCAATGATGGGGCACTATTCCTCCCACTGATACCAACGATGGGACACTATTCATCCCACTGACATCAGTGATGATGGGCGCTAGTCCTCCCACTGCAAAATTACAGTTATGAAGTAGCAGCGAAAATAATTTTATGGTTGGGGGTCACCACAACATGAGGAACTGTATTAAGGGGTCGCGGCATTAGAAAGGTTGAGAACCACTGCTCTAGATCTCCAAATTCAATTAATTAATTTTTTTTTTTTTGGTACTGTGATCTGACGTCCTGTTAGAGGGTGGCTACATTCATTCTCCATGGTCCTACTGTACGTAGTGGATGTGTATGGAGTTTGTTTAGTGTCACTTTAAGGCTCGTTTCACATGAATTCCAGTGCGACTTCTGAATGTGACTTACATGGGGCTTTATGCTCTTCAGAACTCAAGTCTCAAGAAAGTCGCAATAAAGTAGCACAGAGACTATTTTTTATAAGTCGTTGCAACTTTAGTTACATAGATTTGAATGGGTGCCATTAAAAGAGATTGGCTGAAACTTGTCATGTGACTTTGTGTCCAAAGTCGCATGACAAGTCGCACAAGCCTAAGGCTTCATTTACGCATTTGGGTTGGAGGGTGGAAAAAGTTTTGGGTCCCCCTAAAGTCCTGCACAGCCAGGCAACACGCATTTCCTTCACTCAGACTTGCATCCAGGAGACAGTAACAAGCTAGGTTTTGAAGTTTTATTAGTGGATTTGAACTGAGATAGGGTTAGGGATATATAGGATGCCCAATGGAACTGTCTAAAAGTTTTTTTACACAGCACAAATCCTCTTCTTGGAATTCTAGCCAGCGTCTCCGGTTGTACCACCCCAGACCCTGGATTTTCCTAATCTGGCTGACCTGGGTGAATTCCTGAGCAGGGGATCCAAAGCCTGCCACTGCAATGAAACAGTCCCAGGTGAGATAGCTAATTCAGTTTCTCACTAGAGTGCCTCTTTCCCCTTACTGGCCCAGCGGATGCAGGTCTACTCACTCAGACCTTCTGCTTTGCTGCTGTTGGGATGGTGGCTGCTACCAGGCCTTCTACCTGAGGTTGTCCTCGCTCCGGGGGCCAGTGAAGTCTTGAGCTTTCCTCCCTACAAGGTACTCTGTCTGTAGATGAGCCTCTCTCCATCTGGGCCCCTTCCCAGGCTCCTGCTCCCTAGCTTCACTTTCTCTCCATCTTCTACCCACTGTCCTGGCCCCATGCCAAGCCTCCTGTTGGGGATTGGCCAGGAACCCTCAAAAATGCAGATCAGCAACTCTTCACGTTCATCCACTGCTCCTAGAACTTTCTCCAAAGTTCCAGAGCAGGAGGAAGTCTCAGAGAGCTGATCTGCAGAGCCTCTCAACTCTGACCACAATTTGACCCCCTGACATTTGCACAGGCTGCTACTCTGCCTGTCTAATGATTGAAACTAGAGGTCCCCCTAGATAACGATGAGCATGCAACATGCAGATGAGCAGTTTTTTCGCCGCCCAACAACCACCCCCCCTTAACCACTTGCCAACCTTGATATAGTCAAAAGATCAATCGGGCAGCAGAAGTATAGTATCAGGAACCAGGAGCAGAGTCAAATCCAGGCCAAAGTCAGTATCCAGCAGGCAGAAGAGGTACCGGAACAGCAGGCAGATGGCATGGTTGGGTCACAAGCCTGAGCCAGCAATAGAGGTTCAAGGAACAAGCAGAGTCAACAAGCCAGGTCTAGATACGGAAGCACATGGGATCAGGTTAATGATCCAGAGCTCTGTATGGCTTTAAATAAGCCACTGGGCACCAAAGTCCATTAAACATGCACGCATGTACTCATGAGCACGTGCAGCACGCTAATGCTAATGCGCACGTGCTCATGTAGATGCATGTATGGTTCTAATTCTGTGCCCAGTTCCATGGACCATTCTGCACGCATTGCCTTGAGAACGGGCTTGAACATGCTTTTCCTGATATGCAAGCAGTTCACAGCTTTGCTGTTGTCAGTACATCAAGAGCCTGTGGGCAGTGGACATTTAGGTTTTGTAATGCCCTAGGCAACATTAAAATCTGGGACCCCCCCCCTCTCCATATGTTTGTATACAGTATATTGTAGTGATGCTGTCCCCATCCCTCTTCTTTCTGTACCCACAGAGCTGACACTCTATATGTCCGTATACAGTATAATGTAGTGATGCTGGCTCCATCCCTCTTCTCTCTGTACCCACAGAGCTGACACTCTATATGTCCGTATACAGTATAATGTAGTGATGCTGGCTCCACCCCTCTTCTTTCTGTACTCACAGAGCTGACACTCTATATGTCCGTATACAGTATAATGTAGTGATGCTGGCTCCATCCCTCTTCTCTCTGTACTCACAGAGCTGACACTCTATATGTCCGTATACAGTATAATGTAGTGATGCTGGCTCCATCCCTCTTCTCTCTGTACCCACAGAACTGACACTCTATATGTCCGTATACAGTATAATGTAGTGATGCTGGCTCCATCCCTCTTCTCTCTGTACCCACAGAGCTGACACTCTATATGTCTGTATACAGTATAATGTAGTAATGCTGGCTCCATCCCTCTTCTCTCTGTACCCACAGAGCTGACACTCTATATGTCTGTATACAGTATAATGTAGTAATGCTGGCTCCATCCCTCTTCTTTCTGTACCCACAGAGCTGACACTCTGTATGTCCGTATATAGTATAATTTAGTGATGCTGGCTCCATCCCTCTTCTTTCTGTACCCACAGAGCTGACACTCTATATGTCCGTATACAGTATAATGTAGTGATGCTGGCTCCACCCCTCTTCTTTCTGTATCCCCAGAGCTGACACTCTATATGTCTGTATACAGTATAATGTAGTGATGCTGGCTCCATCCCTCTTCTTTCTGTATCCCAGAGCTGACACTCTATATGTCCGTATACAGTATAATGTAGTGATGCTGGCTCCATCCTTCTTCTTTCTGTACTCACAGAGCTGACACTCCATATGTCTGTATACAGTATAATGTAGTGATGCTGGCTCCATCCCTCTTCTTTCTGTACCCACAGAGCTGACACTCTATATGTTCGTATACAGTATAATGTAGTGATGCTGGCTCCGCTCCTCCTCCTCTCCCCATTGGGTGGTGCTGTCAGTTGTTGGTGCAGAACAGTAAGTGTTGGCTGGCCGCGTCCCAGGATGGAGAACCTCCTGAAAAACCTGGTTCGGGCTCTGCTCTACCTGTGGGAACTGACCAGTATTGTGCAGAACCAGCAGAGCCTCATCCACACCCAGCGGCAGTGGATCGATCCTCAGTCTCCTGCTGGCTTCCACATGTGTCCCTTCTTCTGGGGGGGCTAAACGCCTTGTTTACCTCGCTGTACGTACGTCCCTGCCTGTGGGCATATGTTTTTCTATCCCACATCCTGCAGTGGGATTACTTTGACCAGCGTTGGGTGAAGTAGTCCCTCAATATATCCAGATTGAAGGTAGCACCCTTGCAAATAGTCATTTAGGAAGCATGAACAGGTAGGATAGAACAAGTGTAGAGGATGTCAGCACACAAATTGCCTTGCAGTTCCTAAAGTTAATTCAAAGAGCCCACTATGTGTCTGAGCTGTAGCCACTAGAATTAATTGCTGCACATTCGACCAGCAGCATCTGAACATTGTGGGTACCTTATGCAGAGGCAGGGGCAGACTGACCATTTGGAAACTCGGGCACTGCCCGAGGGCCCGGGGTCAGTACGGGGCCCCATGAGATGCCCCTGGTACCTTTTTCATAGGCTTTTTTGAGTTTGGCCAAGGACACAGGGACCCCATGATCCCCTATTGCCCGGGGGCCCCATGAGTTGTCAGTCCGCCCCTGTGCAGAGGTATCAATTGCCACGATAGGTAGGGCACCTCTTATGGTGCATTCTTTCACCAACACTGATGGGTTCAGTAGTCCTCATTACGGCTGACTTTGGCGGGAAGGTGGCATCTTATTCAGGTTCTTTTTCAGATAGGATTTGCTTAACCATTTGTAAAAAAAAAAAAAAAAAAAAAAAAAACCTCAGCGCCCAGGACTCTCTTTACACACACTATTCCCCGTGAGATGCTGCTGTACACAGGTGCAAAAACAAAAAAACTTATATCAATTTATACCAGCACAAACCCACAAAACAATAAATTGCATCACCCAACCCATAAAATTAATAATTAGTAAATATTACAAACTTAAAAAACTGTGACACAAAAAAATGTTTTTGAAATATTAATGAAAAATATATGATTTTAAAATTAATAAGTCCAGTGACAAAAATCCCAAAATAACAGTCCCGTGAAGAAATTAATTATATTATATTTTCATTGGATTCTTCCGTGCTTCCGTCTTTGGTCTTGATAACGCCCTGTGGGTGGGGCGAAACGCGTTGACGTATTTCCGGTTGCCTGTTCCGGCGTCTGACGTCATTTCCGGTGAGTGGAACGCACGCCGAGCGGTGCGTTCCAAGGGGCCATCTTTGCATAGTGGATGAGTCTGCATCTGAGGTCTGTCATCCTGCTGTATACCTGGCTGTGGGGTCTCTATACAGAAGTCGCTGTAAATGAAAGAAAGATCGTTTTTAAAGAAAGATCGTTTTGCTTTAATAAAATGCGGGTTAAATTCTGCTAAAATTTGAGTGGTCTGGAGAAATTTCTTTTGATTGGAAATCACTACGGTATCACACTATGGTCTTTTCTTCTTCCTGATTTTCCCCTGGGGATTCGGTGAGAGGAGTAACCAGAGGAGGTATCCATATCCTAGAGGAGGCAATATTTGGAGGTCATATACAAAGTAAAGGGGGTCCAGGAGCCCTTAATATCCCTGAAAGGCGTTTGACTCACCATTATCTGGTGAGTGCGGTTAATGTTGGTTTTGCACTGGTGGATGGTGGAATTATCACAGGCACGGAAGAATCCAATGAAAATATAATTAATTTCTTCACGGGACTGTTATTTTGGGATTTTTGTCACTGGACTTATTAATTTTAAAATCATATATTTTTTCATTAATATTTCAAAAACATTTTTTTGTGTCACAGTTTTTTAAGTTTGTAATATTTACTAATTATTAATTTTATGGGTTGGGTGATGCAATTTATTGTTTTGTGGGTTTGCGCTGGTATAAATTGATATAAGTTTTTTTTGCTTACCAGACACTTTTTATCAATTTTGTTTCTAATTTTCATCCTTTTTTGTGACAGATAGAACTTTCTTTTGGTGGTATTTAATCACCACTGTGATACTTTTTGCTAAACAAATGAAAAAAGACCAACATTTTGAAAAAAAAAAACCTTTTCTATGTGTTTGTTATATAAAATTTAGCAAATAAGTAATTTTTCTCCTTCAATGATATGCACAAATAGGCGGCACTGATGGGCACTGATGAGGTGGCACTAAAGAGGCAGCACTGATGAAGTGACACTGATTAAGCGGCACTGATGGGCACTGATAGGCGGCACTAATGGGCAGTGATAGGCAACACTGTGTCAGGGCTCCAGGGTATGACCAGAGGTATGTGAACTGACGCAGGGAAACGCAGGCTTCAGATATGTTATAACAATATAATTTATTAACACTAACAATACATAAACGCAGTGCAATACTAAAACATAACACAGTGCAAACGAACCAAACCAACCACCCACAGATAACAGTACATACAAGCAAGAGTCGTCAGGCAGGCCGGGTCAATAACAATCGGGCAGGTAGGAACAGGAGGAGCAGCAGAGAGTAGTAGTCAGGTCACGAGACGGGTACATCAACTAACGGGCAGGTAGGTACAGGGGGTCAGGCAGAGAATAGTCGGGGTCACAAGCCAGGGATCAAACAGGAGAAGTCAGCAGAGGTCAGGATCAGGCAGGGTCAGCAACGAATCAGTCAGACAGGAATAGGAACAGGAACAGGAACAGGGATGCAGGTAACAAGATCCAGGGGCCCAGGAAAAAACACACACCAAGGCCCAGACTGCAGGTCTGGCCATCCCTTAAATGCACCTGCATAATCAGCTTCAGGTGTTTGGCTGGCTGCAGGGTTGAGTCTCTGATTGCTGAGAGCACCACGCTGGCCAGCCCTGGTACTGCAGCCCACAAGGCAGGTGAGTCCCACCATTACTGGCAAGTCCATTTTCCTGACAGTACCCCCCCCCTCAAGGAGCGGCCTCAGGACGCTCCAAACAGTCCTAGCTGGGCAAAATGTTCCACCGCCCGGGTCTGGTAACTGGCGGGATATCAAAGACTGGCACATCGGGCTGGACTCCGGCAGCGGCACATCGGGCTGGACTCCGGGCAGCGGCACATCGGGCTGGACTCCGGGCAGCGGCACATCGGGCTGGACTCCGGGGCAGCGGCACATCGGGCTGGACTCCGGGCAGCGGCACATCGGGCAGGACTCTCCGGGCAGCGGCACATCGGGCAGGACTCCGGGCAGCGGCACATCGGGCAGGACTCCGGGCAGCGGCACATCGGGCAGGACTCCGGGCAGCGGCACACCGGGCAGGACTCCAGGCAGAGGCACATCGGGCAGGACTCCGGGCAGAGAGACACAACGAGCTGGACTCCGGGCAGAGGCACAACGAGCTGGACCACCGGATCACCAGGCGGAGCAGCAGGCACCGGGCCACCAGGCGGAGCAGCAGGCACCGGGCCACAAGGCGGAGCTGCAGGCACCGGGCCACCAGGCGGAGGAGGCGACAGGCATCGGGCCCCCAGGCGGGGCGACAGGCATCGGGGCCCCCAGGCGGGGCGACAGGCATCGGGCCCCCAGCGGGGCGACAATCATCGGGCCCCCAGGCGGGGCGCCGGGCGCCGGGCCCCCAGGCAGAGCGGCAGGCGCCGGACCCCCAGGCAGAGCGGCGGGCACCGGGCCCCCCAGGAGGGGCGGCAGGCACCGGGCCCCGAGCGGAGCAACAAACAGGCATCGGGCCCCCAGGCGGGGCGGCGGGCGCCGGGCCCCCAGGTGGAGCGGCGGGCGCCGGGCCTCCAGGAGGGGTGACAGGCATCGGGCCCCCAGGCGGGGCGACAGGCATCGGGCCCCCAGGCGGGGCGACAGGCATCGGACCCCCAAGCGGAGCGGCGGGGCGCCGGACCCCCAGGAGGGACGGCAGGCACCGGGTCATCAGGCACGACAACGGGCATCGGGTCACCAGATCATTTGGCTCGCCAGCGGGCACCGCGTAATCTGGCAAGGCAGTGGGCACCGAGTCACCAGGCACGACAGTGGGTTCCGAGTCAACTGGCATGACCACGGACACTGGGTCAGACATTGGATCGTCTGGCTCGACAGCGGGCATCGGGTCACCAGGCATCAGGTCATTTGGCTCGACAGCGGGCACCGCGTCATCTGGCAAGGCAGTGGGCACCGAGTCACCAGGCACAACAGTGGGCTCTGAGTCAATTGGCACGACAGCGGGCACCGGGTCATCAGGTACCGGATCGTCTGGATCGACAGCGGGCACCGGGTCATCTGGCGTTGGATCGTCTGGCTCGACAGCGGGCATCGGGTCACCAGGCATGAAAGCGGGCACTGGGTCACCAGGCATCAGGTCATTTGGCTCACCAGCAGGCACCGCGTCATCTGGCAAGGCAGTGGGCACCGAGTCACCAGGCACGACAGTGGGCTCCGAGTCAACTGGCATGACCGTGGGCACTGGGTCAGACATTGGATCGTCTGGCCCGACAGCGGGCATCGGGTCACCAGGCATGACAGCGGGCACTGGGTCATCAGGCATGGGATTGTCTGGCTCGACAGCGGGCATCGGTTCACCAGGTATGACAGCGGGCACTGGGTCACCAGGCATCAGGTCATTTGGCTCGCCAGTGGGCACCGCGTCACCTGGCAAGGCAGTGGGCACCGAGTCACCAGGCACGACAGTGGGCTCCGAGTCAACTGGCATAACCGCGGGCACTGGGTCAGACATTGGATCGTCTGGCCTGGCAGCGGGCATCGGGTCACCAGGCATGACAGCGGGCACTGGGTCATCAGGCATTGGATCGTCTGGCTCGACAGCGGGGCATCGGGTCACCAGGCATGACAGCGGGCACCGGGTCATCAGGTACCAGATCGTCTGGATCGACAGCGGGCACCGGGTCATCTGGCGTTGGATCGTCTGGCTCGACAGCGGGCATCGGGTCACCAGGCATGACAGCGGGCACTGGGTCATCAGGTACCGGATCGTCTGGATCGACAGCGGGCATCGAGTCAACTGGCCTAATAGGATCATCAGGCTGGATCAGTTCATCAGGCTGAATGGAGGCATCAGGCTGAATGGAGGCATCAGGCTGGGTAGAGGCATCAGGCTGAATTGTGGGCGCCGAGGCACCAGGCTGCCCCACGGAAGGCAGGTTCTCAGATGGGAGGCTGACCGGTTTGGATACTGGCAGGATGGTATTGGTTGGAAAGAACTTTCGCCTTTTCCTGGTTTTAGTTACCGGCAACTGTAAGTAAGCGCAGGTTTGTAAACGGATGGAGCAGCTGGAGACAGAGAAGAGCTGGAGAATGGAACAGGGGAGGGAACAGTTGCTACAGAGGGCTTCTTTACAGGGTTAAAGGCAGGATAGGTGCAGCGAGTGGGAACAGGGTACTGACATGCGGTAGATAGCAGGGTATACTGGGCTGTAACTGGAGGTGCTGTTGGGAATGCAGGAATAGAGCTTTGAAGAAATAGATTAGAAGCAGGACTGGGTTTTTGCAAGCTGACTGAGGCTGGGGTGCAACAAGTCTGACCATGTCTGCAGTATGGGTTGAACAAGGCTCAGCTTACACAAAGCCTGTCTGGTCAAAGACTGCACTGCGTTTATACAATCCCTTAATACCTGTGGTGAACATGCAGCATAATGCTCCAAGAAGCAATCCACATCATCCTCTAATAACCATACCAGGGACTCTACCTGGTCTGCACTAAATGGTGGCAAAAAATCATTCCTGCTTTCAGGGGTACCAGATGAAGCCAACTCTACACAAACCTGAATCAAAGGTTGCACCTCAGAGAACTCTGTGCCCTGATCTACTAGAACATGAGCGATCCATATACATTCTAGCAGTTGATCCCGGGTATACTCCCTCAGAGTCTGATAAGCATATTCTCTGTCATCAAAAACCAGCAGCGACAAATACACAACCTCATCAAGATCCATCCTTCCCAGCAACAAGCCAAGATGGCTTCCCTGTGCAGCCACTTCTGGTCAGGATTGGCCTTGGTGTAATGTCAGGGCTCCAGGGTGTGACCAGAGGTATGTGAACTGACGCAGGGAAACGCAGGGCTTCAGATATGTTATAACAATATAATTTATTAACACTAACAATACATAAACGCAGTGCAATACTAAAACATAACACAGTGCAAACGAACCAAACCAAACCACCCACAGATAACAATATATACAAGCAAGAGTCGTCAGGCAGGCCGGGTCAATAACAATCGGGCAGGTAGGAACAGGAGGAGCAGGCAGAGAGTAGTCAGGTCACGAGCCGGGTACAGCAACTAACGGGCAGGTAGGTACAGGGGGTCAGGCAGAGAATAGTCGGGGTCACAAGCCAGGGATCAAACAGGAGAAGTCAGCAGAGGTCAGGATCAGGCAGGGTCAGCATGAATCAGTCAGACAGGAACAGGGACAGGAACAGGAACAGGAACAGGGATGCAGGTAACAAGATCCAGGGGCCCAGGAAAAACACACACCAAGGCCCAGACTGCAGGTCTGACCATCCTTTAAATGCACCTGCATAATCAGCTTCAGGTGTTTGGCTGGCTGCAGGGTTGAGTCTCTGATTGCTGAGAGCACCCGCTGGCCAGCCCTGGTACTGCAGCCCACAAGGCAGGCGAGTCCCACCATTACTGGCAAGTCCATTCCTGACACACTGATTGGCACTTATAGGCACTAATAGGTGGCACTGATAGGGGACACTGATGAGGAGGCACTGATAGTCAGCACTGATGAGCACTGATAGGCAGCACTGATGGGCGGCAGTGATGGGGCTGCACTGATAATCAGTGCCCTGATTATCTGTGCACATACCCCTGTCACACTTGCCGTTTAACGGCTCTGCTTTCCTCATGCTGTGACAGCACGTGTGGAAAGTACTGCCAATAACCAGCAAGTATGTTTACATTATAATCAGCTGTGATTGACCCTTTACGGCAATATGTGATCAGCTGTGTCCAATGAGAGCGTGCCACAGGGACTGTGTGGGGGGCGTGGTTCCAGGAGGAAGTCCATGTATCCCCTCCCGGAACAATAGAGCCATGCTGTAGCCGTCTTTCAGCTACAGCACTGTAAGAAAGTGATTGTTTCCCACCCTGGTAGCTCTTTATTGGTCTACTACATGTATGCTGCCATGTTGGCGCCAGGAAAACAGAAAATTGTATCAAATACTTACCGTAATTTTCCTTTCCTGGCCCCAATCCATGGCAGAATGCTAAACCCACCAAATTTGTTCCTAGTGTTGTACAGGTAATGGGCTGTTGTGTGGGTGTCAACACTTTATAGCTTTGCTTGCACTGGTCCTGTCGGCGGAAGTAAGCAAGGCTACTACCACATATATGCTGCCATGGATTGGCACTAGGAAAGGAAAATACAGTAAGTATTTGATACAATTTTCGGCTTGGGTATGGCGTGCCACATTCCCACTGATTCAGGTAAGTGTAGCCCAACTACCCCTATGGTCATGTGAGAAGACCCCCCAAGCAACTTAGTAATTGCACACTCTGATGCTGCAGGACCAGTCAATAGGCCCTTCCATTAGCCACAATTATGTCTTACTATTTCTTGCTTGAATTTCATGAATTTGCTATATTTGTATCTAATCTTTTTATCAACTAGACCTTGACATTTTGCTGGCTTCTTGTCGAGCCCCCTATAATTCCTTGGTGCCTGAGTTTTCCTTGCATTTAAACTCAATTACTAAGTTTTGTCCTGCATTTATCTTTGCCTGTAATTGTGTACAGTATTTATCATGCTAGTTAATTGTTACCTTGTTGACCTTATGCCTTCTATTATGCCATACTTTTCTTGCATATGGCCTTGCTACCATGTGTATTCTTTTCAGTTGTCTTCTATCCTTTGTTGTTTCACATTGCTCACATGTACTGTACAATGTCAATAAACCCACCTTTTCCTCATCTGTGGTTTTGCAGCCTACTTGTTTTTCACTTACCAGGCATGAAGGCATCATTGCATTCAGGAGAAGATTTACAAGGTCTTGAGTCTTGCTGTTGCCATGATGGTGGTCTCTAGTCTCCCATTCATAGCTGCAATGATTGTGGTTCCCGGCCTCCCATTCATAGCTGACCCCCATCAGATGCCCATTTTGTGGTTGTATTGATTGAGGTAGAAAGGGAAAGAGAAGATCCTCCCTTACTGTACTTTTGAGACCATAATACAAATCTTACTGACCATAATAAAAGTATTATGTTTTAAAAATTCTCAGCCATACTCAAAATTTATTTTACTGCTGTGTGTATCTCCTTGAAAGACTGTTTTCCTCAAAAGGAATGTGGGGAAATCTCCACAAAAGAATTCAAATAATTCTCAAATTTGATGTGTTGGTTGCACTGAACCTTAAAGAAGAATTCCAGATGTGAATATTTTTACATAGGTAAATATGTGGTCCAGCTTGGACCAGGGGAGGACTGACCATTTGGAAACTCGGGCACTGCCCAAGGGCCCAGGGTCAGTAGGGGGCCCCATGAGATGCCCCTGGTACCTTTTTCATAGGATTTTTTGAGAGTTTGGGCAAGGACACAGGGGTCCCATGATCCCCTATTGCCCGGGGGCCCCATGAGTTGTCAGTCCGCCCCTGGCGTGGACCAATATGACTGCATTTTCTATACTTGTGGAAGTTGGAAATCACTGTAGTAGGCACAGTAGCTTCCAGGCCCCATGCAGAGCAGCTGTCCTGCTGCTTTTGGAATACAGGAGGTTATTGGCTCAGCACAGACAATTTTCAGAGAACGCTTTGCATTTTCTCAATGGATGAAAATCATTCTCTGATTGGACGAGGTTGAGATTGTGATGCCAATATCTTGTCTCTCCAACTCACCCAATCATCGAATGCTTAGTATTCATTGAGAAAATGCAAAGTGTTCTTTATTTGGCACCTATACCAAGTGGTCAACCTCCTGTGTGCATAATACAGCAGGGCAACCGCTCAGTACGAGACCTTGAAGGTAGTAAAGATCACTGTAGGTACCTACTTCTGTGATTTTCAGCTTGAACCGGGACAGGATGGTATATCATGCATACTTATGTCAGTCCAAGATGGGCCAGTGTAACTACGTAAAATTATCCATACCTGGTATTCTTCTTTAAATATAACAGTTGGCCTCTGGATTATATTTTTCATGTAATGCTGTAGTATGATAACAACTAATAAGATGATGAATAAAAACCTATCTTCTAACAGAATTAACCTCTGGCCTCATCTCTACCACCTCACCCTTTATCCATTAAGCATTTCTTCATTTAAAAAAGGCTGGCAATTGCGTTTTTTATTCACTGAATCTGCAATCACATGTTCCTTTCTGGAGCTTCTTTCAAGAGCGAAGATCAATGATCTAGAGCTGCCGGCTGTACCCACCACTGACTAGTCTACTCGTCCTGAATTACTTATGCCGATACAGTTTTCTGGAGTGTGAGAGGACCTTGCCACTGGACAGCTAATGGGAAGTGTACACTCCACTTAGGCTGCAATGTGGAAAGCTGAAGAAGGATCCTCCCAGTCTGCTTCGCACATTATATTTTACTGAAAATATACAATTGATAAACAGTTGGGCCAATATTACACAATCATTTTATTTTAAAGGGCCATTGCTTTTCGAAAATATGTCATATTTGGGTGTTTTAAGTCAGGCTAAAATTGCGGATTTTAACATGTATGTGAAAAAGAAAGAATAAGAGTCAAGACTTTCTGGCAAAGAAGGAGGTAAAAACAAGCTTCTGGCTGACTTCAGGTTTGTTAAAGCCTGCCAAAGGTTCCCAGGGATCTTGGCAAACGTTTCACATGAACGCTGCCAGCCTCTGTAATTAGCACCCTCTTTACAATGCATAGCTTATAGGTACCAATTTGAACAGCAGGGATTCTGACTGCTGTAGAATGACTTTTCATAGGAAGAACACCAGGTGATCACACACACACAGCTCTGGTGCCAAACTCCATTTACAATCAATAGTTTTAGTGTGCTTCATATTATTTCATAAAATGTCCCAAGGTTTGCCAGTCACATTAAAACTGGAGGACAAGCATGAAAATTCTTTCAAAATATGTATCAAACTTCCGCCAAGGAAAGTGAAAATTTAATTGAAAAATTAAATGCTGCTGTTCAAGGATTG